GGGGTTCTGGCACAGAACCAGGGCTCTAGGAGAGAAAGCCTCTGGGCATGAAACTTCCTGGGGGCATTTAGATGGGGGGGGACAGCAGCGTGCCATCAAGTCAGCCGCGTGGCGCCAGGTCTGTCTCTCGGCAGGACCGCCCCCGCCCCGGCTCTTCCTCCTGTGGGGGCGTGGCCACGGCCAGGACCGCCAGACGCATGCGCCACCCTCACCCAGGCAGCTCGGAACCTGACATCCACGGGCGGTACACAGCGGCCCTGGGAGCAAGGCTGCTTCTCTCTCTGCGTTGAAAGAGAATGGATTTTCTCCTAAGGAGCACAGCACTGACAGCCTCACGCACCACCGCTTTTTAGGGAATTAAGAACCTAACAGCTAACGTGGTTTATTTCCAGATGAGGACCCAAGTTGGTAAAGAACTCATTTTTGCACTTTTGCTCTTCCCCAGATGAGTGGTCATTGCTGGTGAAATAAAGAGGAGAGTCCAGATGGAACTGCCTGGAAACATCACATCCTCTCCCTGATTCAGAGCTGGCTCACTGAACCCCCACCCATCACCTCACCCCCTTCTTCCTCCACTGCACTCATTTCTCAGGCTGCTCTGAAGCCGGGAAACTGCAAGTATAGAGCTCAGCCTTAGTAAGATGCCAGCACGTGTCGAGGGAAGGTGTTCTTCCCAACTGAAATGACAAAGTTTAAGAAGAGAGGCATTTGGTCCAGCCTGGAATATGGATGTGATGCCTGGAGCTGCAGCACCTATTCTATGACCATAAGGCTGAAACCACACAATAAGGATGGTGGAGCAGGGAGAGGCTGGAGCCTGAGTACCTGAGAATGCCTAGAGCTGATGCACCAGCCCTGGACCACCTACCTCAGGACTCCCTGTTAGAGAAGCAGCTGCAGCAGCCATTTTCTCCTTTGAGCCCCTTGCATCCCAATGCTATTCTGAACTATCTTCTTTTGGGGGCTAATATCATGGCCTTCTGTGGTTGCTTCCATTTTCTTGGCATCATAAAGGCTGAGAAGAGAGACTGAGTCTGTTCCCTGAGCAGGTTCCTGACGTCTTCTCAGCTTCTCCCCACCATCCTCAACCACTGGGTAACAATGGCAGAATTGCTAGGATCTGGTATTTGCAGAAAGCCCCCGACAGCCTCTACCGTCGGGCTGGAAGGTAGGACAGTGCCCCACAGGAACCCTGGGGTAGGCTTCCTCTGGTGATGGCTCCCCGGACAATGTCTGCTCTGTTCCTCCTGCCCATGGCAGGTCCTTTCAGGGAGATGCTGGGCACTAATGGTGGCCAGGAAGGGAGCCAGTCAAGGCCTTTAGGTTTATCTTAGAAGCAACATTTAAGGATCAGGGGACAGGCCTGGCTTTGGGACAGGCAATGTCATTCCCAGGGGTGACTGAGGACTTCAGTGTGTGGAAGTGACCATGGTGGTCACTTCATAATTAAGTGGTGATGTCCTTACATGTGTCAAATGAAAAGAGACCAAATGGGAGAGTGGGCGGAAAGGAAGAGGAAGGGCAGAGGACAGGGGAGGGGGGAGGGAATGAGGGTGAGGAAGGGGAGGAGAAAGCTTTCATTTCCAGGGAGATGGGTGTTATTGTACCGGCAACAGATAAGGGGACAGGCTGGGAGGGCACATGGCGCCCCTCGGGCAACGCGGTGAGGATACGGCAGCACCCAGGCCCAACACCATCACGCTCCTATGACATGTGCTTGCTGGGCCACACCAGCAACATGCCAGCCACCCACCAGCAACATCCCTGCATCAGCCCAGCACTTCTGCTCAGGTCTATCTGTCTGTTCTTCCCAATTAGAGTAATTGCTCCCCTGCTGAATGGAGCTTGTGACTGCTCGGGAAACATCCTGCCTTGTGTAGTATGTGGCTTGATGGGGGTGCCTGTCTCCCCTACAAGGTGGTAAGGGCCCCAAGGCAAGGACACTGTCATCTTTGGGTCCCCAAACCTGGATGCAACAGGTGCTTCACTGAATGGGCCCTCGGCCCCCCAAACAAATACTGCATGCAGGACCACTGGACTTCAGGCCAGTGGGAGGAGCAGGAAGCAGGGTTGCGCCTACCAGCACCCACCAGCTCAGTGAGGGTGGCACAGGGGATGTGTCGGTAGCAGTACTTAAAGCCTCAAAGTCTGCAGAGCATCTGTATCCTTTCCCAATGTGTGAGGGCCTGACATGTAGCACAGAGGTTACCCAGCCAGTGGGAGCCGCTTACATGTGCTTTGCTTCTGCTTGTGCGATGGTCGTGAGGACTGAATGGGTCAACGTGCAGCCCTGCACATTGGTCACGTGAGGGCTGTGGAGGCAGGGACCACACTGCTATTAGGAGCAAGCCAGCAGGCGGAGCTGCAGGAGCCCACGACACAGCTGCTCAGAACCCACACTGGGACCAGAATCCACTTATGGGAAAAAAAGTCTTTAGAGGTGAAACCACCTGCACCTCTGCAACGCTCCCTTGCTCGGCGGTAACCCCTCCACATTTGTCCTTTTATTGAAGAGCACCTTCATATTGGCCTTGAAAGCATCCATAAGCAGTATCTGGAAGGCCTGAAAGAAAGCTCAGTGCCTCTGTGAGGAGGGAGCCGGGCTCTGAAGGCCCTGCTCAGCAACTGGAGATGCCAGCCCTGGGACTTTGATCTCTCCCTGACCACAGAGTCTCTGGGAGACTGGATGAGAGGCCCCGCACCTGGCCTGGATCCCTGGTCCTGAGAAGGGCCCTCTTTTTAAAATTTTCTAAATGAAACACAGCCAATTTTATTCAAATTCTCCAAAATTTATACTCGATATGTTAATTGTTTCTAAAATGTTTCACCTTTAAATCATGGATTTATTATTTCACCTTTCTTTTAGAGTTTTTTTTCATTTTTTTCTGTACAGTTCTTCTATAGAAGTCAAAGTCCTGAGTTGCCCAGTTAGGAGCCTCTGACCTACTATCCTGATTAAGTTTCTTCTTAATATTCATGGCCAACATCTGGCTTCTAAATGAAAGGCTTTTGGTCTTTTCAATCACTTGCTGATAGGGTGAGGCTGCAGAGAAAGGGCCCTCCCGTCTCTCCAGAGCCACGGTGAGCTTTGAGAAGAGCTGGAAGCCATGAGGGAGCTGCCAGCTCTCACTGGCCAACACGCAGAGAGACAACAGAAAAGGCAAATGACACCTAGGCCTTAATGACGAAACATGTCTTCCTACGGCTAAAGTGAGATGTCTGTAAATAGCACAGGAAAAGGACGTGATAGTCCCCTTACAGCCAGTGGCAGCCCTGCTCCCTCTCCTTCTGGACTCACATCACCACAGGATGAGCCACCATGGATTTCCTGGGACCACATCCTATGGCAGGGACCCTGAAACTGGTCAGTCTTTCCTTCTTTTAGTATCCTGGGAGTTCTCTGTCTAACCAGACACAGAAGTGAAAAAGGAAGAGTTTCCCTCTATTTGCTCAGTTAGTCACACATCCGTCAGCAGTTAACATTCCAAACAAAATCCCGCCATTTCCACAGCAGACCCATAATGCATTGACTGAAGACAGGCCCCACATGAGTCTATGTGACTGGTGGTTGGAGTTGTGCAGTGCACAGCCTGTGGGCCCAGCCCGGCAAGCCTCTCTGCAGCACTGAAATGGCTCCTGGCAGGAAACTCCCATGTAATGATTTGAATGGAAGAATCCATCTTTTGATTCAAAAGCTTACTTTAGAGCAGAGGCTGGCAAACATTTTCCGTAAAGCGCTCATTAGTAAACATTTTAGTCTTTGCAGGCCACACAGCCTCTGGGGTTGCTTCTCAACTCTGCTGTTAGGGCACAAAAGCAGTAGCCACAGACAATACGTCTTTGAACAAGTGTGGCTGTGTTCCGATAAAACTTTATTTACAAACAGGCAGTGGGCTGTAATTTGCTGACTCTCTGCACTAGACGGGCTTTTAATTAATTAATTATTTATTTGTTTATTAAGTGTAAGTTTATTACTAGTCCAGAGTTTTAATATTTTGATCGTCTGGTTGGTCTAACAAAGTAGACGGGCTTTTAAAAATTACATCTGAGGGCTTCCCCAGTGGCACAGTGGTTGAGAGTCCTCCTGCTGATGCAGGGGACACAGGTTCGTGCCCCGGTCCGGGAAGATCCCACATGCCGCGGAGCGGCTGGGCCCATGAGCCATGGCCACTGAGCCTGCGCGTCTGCAGCCTGTGCTCCGCAACAGGAGAGGCCACAACAGTGAGAGAGGCCCGCGTACCGCAAAAAAAAAAGAAAAAAAATTACATCTGAGATTAATTACATCCATATAGTATATGCGTACATGTGAAAGGGAACCACAGTGAAAGTTATTTAAGGGTGGCTTGATTATTAATTTGCTTCATAATTTAAATTAAAAGTTGACTGTGGCATTTTTTTCTTTTTTTAAAAACTGAAGCATAGTTGATTTACAATGTTGTGTTAGTTTCAGGTGTACAAGCAAAGTGATTCAGTTATACATATATATTCTTTTTCAGATTCTTTTTCCTTAGAGGTTATTAGAAAATATTGAGTATAGTGGTATATAGTAGTTTCTTGTTATTCATCTATTTTATACATAATAGTGTGTATATGTTAATCCCAAACTCCTAATTTTTCCCTCCTCCCCTTTCCCCTTTGGTGACCATAAGTTTGTTTTCTGAGTCTGTTTCTGTTTTGTAAATAAGTTCAGTTGTATCATTTTTTTTAGATTCCACATATAAGTGATATCGTATGATATTTGTCTTTGTCTGACATCACTTACTATAATAATCTAAGTTTCTTAGTATGATAATCTATGATAATGATAATCTAAGTCCATTCCATCCATGATGCTGCAAATGGCATTATTTTCAATGATATTTTTTTGCATGCATATGGTAGTTTTAGGCAAAACCTATCATTGCTGAGTGCGCTTCCCAGGGAGGTCTCCATATTCCACCTCCTGCCCCTCCCGGCCCACCCCTTCCCCACCTTGCACTGTTAGGTGGCGGCGGGTGTACCTTGTTCTCTCTGCTGGTCTCTCTGCTCCATGGACACAAGGGCAGAGAAATGCGCTTGGTCGTAGGCAAGAACCAGAGGTGAGCAGTGGCATCTGTTGGGAGGCACCTCCAAGGGCAGGTAAATCCCTCCGAAGGGGATTGGAGCAAATGCTGCAGACACAAACAAGGGTGAGGGCATGTGGATCTGGAGGGGGCGTGGACAGCATCCCTCACCATCCTGGGGGAGGTGACAGGGCGGAGGGAAGGGAGGGCAGGCTCAGGCTGCAGCCCCGGGTGTTGTCATCTGTCACCTACTCCACAGCAGAGGGGCCTCCACCCACCTGGCAGGAGCTCCCTGAGAGCTAGGTGATGCTTGCCACCGATGGATAGGGAAGCCCAGGCTCGCAGGGGCCAGGCCCATTAGACCCCAAGTCCTGTACCTGACCAGGGCACCCTGCTCCACCTGCTTCCTTGGGCAGAGTCCTCCTGGCTCGTTTGTCCCTGCGCCCTGTCAAGCTGCACCCTAGGAACAAGCAGGGCTGAGGGGATTCTGCTGTGACCTGCCGGGGCTGCCTGCTGCCCTGAGTCCGGCCAAGGTGATCAAAACGCCCACCCCAGATGGTCAGCCAGGACGTGTGCTGATGGCCACCTAGAAACCCGTGTTCTCCTGAACGTACTTATTCCTCTCCTGTGTTCACAAAAGCATCTGCACACAGAACAACGTATGTGCTGCTTGAGAGCTTATTTGTTCTAGGTTTTGAGAAGCTCAGTGAGAGCACTCCAGGCCCAAGTCGTGAGTCAGATGGGAAATGAGGGACGGGGATCAGCTCCTTTAGCAACTGGGACACAGTCTTGTTCATTTCCTTACCAAAAGGGGGAAAAAGCCTAAATCCTCACTGAAATACATAACTACTGGAAATACCTGCCCTGACATGGCATCTGTTTTTTAATTACAAAGAACCTTGCCTCTTGGCCTCAGACTCAGTGACTCACTGCCCTTCTGTGGAAGGAAAAGACAGTCGACATCAGGGATGTCTTTGATGAGCTCAGGAATCCTCCCCACCCTTGCTTTGTCTATATCAGTGACCATGGTTCTGCCTCCCTCTCTGCTGAGAGGCAGGGTGGGTCCGCCTTTGAGAGGGCTGCACCCTCCAGGACAGGTGCAAAGGAAGGAAGTGTGGACCCAGCTCTGTGGGATCTGATGAGTACAGGGACCCCGATGGGAGGCCGGGCTCTGCACCCAGAGAGCTGCAGACCCCGGCAGGCCTGTGTCACTGGGAGTGACCAAGGTACTCCCAGCTCCCTGCTTTCTGTGGTAACCACAGCCACGAGAGGCAGGACACTTACACTAGGGTGACCTTCCTGGTCCATCCACCATCCTGGCCCCTCCTGTGTCCCTCCTTTTCAGAGAGCATGGTGCCCTGTGGGCTCCAGCAGAAAGGCTAGAGGGAGGACACACGTGGAGCCCTCCCTGCCTGGGTCGACCCTGCTTCCTCAAGGCCTCAGCTGAAGGCGGGGGCACATTGTGTGGCCTCTCTGAGCGTTGGGCTCCTCGTCTGTAAAGCGGGAGGCAATGTCTACCCTGGGAGGTAGTGGCCTGGCCGAGGGAGAGGGTGCACATGATTGGCAGTGCAGTGGGTACCGGCCTTGGGAAGTCCTCCATCCCTTCCTCCTTCTCCCCCAGCCCTGGTCCCATCACAGCCTTGCGGATGACTTTGCATTTTCTGCCTTTCTTGTTTCTTCTTTAAGACACATGCGAGGGGCAGGAGGGGACTGGAGTGGCTGAGTGGCCAAGTGGCCCTGGGATGAGGCCGGCACTGCTGGATGGTGTGGGCAATGGGTGGGGCCCGGAGCCCCTCGGGGTTCATCCCCACCCCCACTCAGCCACATTTCTCCTGCCGTGGACACACAGGGTGGATGGACGGCCAAGAGTAATCTCTCCTGGGAATTCCCTGGCTGTCCAGGGGTTAGGACTCTGCACTTTTCGCTGCTGAGGGCCCGGGTCCAATCCCTCGTCGGGGAACTAAGATCCCACAAGCCGTGTGGCACGGCCAAAAAAAAATATTAAACAAATAAAAAAGAGTAATCCCTTCTCTACTGGGAGGAGCCAGAAACATGTGGAGTCGAGGAGAAACGAGGAGAAATAAGACCTTTGTCCAGGCAGAGTAAGGCTCTGTGTCCTTCTGGAGGCTCAGCCATTATGTTGGACTGTCCCTTCCTTACTCGGGATGTTACGCTTTCTGGGTGATGAATAAAATACATCTGTTTCATTATGAGTAAACTTACCTTCCCCGCCTGAGTCCCTCAGCATCGTATCTGCTACAACGACGATGGGCCTCCTTAATATGTGGGCAAGGACGAAAACGTGGAACTCCTCCAGACTCTCGTACACAGGGTCCTCGGCGTTGTCCATGCTGGGGACACAGTGAAGCAAGCCTGTCACTGGAGCGAGTCGGGACAGGGAGTGGAGGACAAAACACCTCCCTGTGGCCCTTCCCTGCGTGGACCCTGGCTGTCGCGGCCAGCTGAGGCCACGGCCCCCCTCCACGCCACTCGATGTTGGCAAGCACACTGAACCCAGCTCTCCACCTGACCCTGGGGTGGGTGGTCTCAGGAGAGAAGCCGAAGCAGAGAACCTGGCAACGTGGGCAGCCAGCTCCCTTTAAGATGCAGTCTCCCTGGGGGCAGAGGTGCCCAGAGTGTGTGACAACATGGGGGCTGGTTCTCTGGGCGGGTTGACGGGGATGCAGTTGGGGCAAGAGGCATGGAGGTTCCCCATTCGGTTCATGCTCACAACCAGCAGCTTAGGCTGAAGCTTTACCCTCAGGGGGTCAGGTATGCCTGGGCACGTCTGATGGGCCGGTGGGTCCACTGCTACCAAGATCTGTGGGCCTTTCTAGGGGATACCCTGACTGAAGATGGTGGTAAGAAGGCTGCCTTGAGTGGTAGTGGAGGGAGTGACAGAATGCCCAACCCAGGCCACTCGGACCCTCCCCAGCCAGCCCCTGGCTCTTCTCCGAGGCTCAGGGGAAGAGTGGGCTCCAAAACCTGCATCACTCATGACTCTAGGACATGGGCAGAGAACTGTAGCCTAGATGTCTCTCAACAACCAGGCCAGTCCAAAGCGAAGAAGCATGGAGAGAGGAAGGCCAGTGCCCCGAGGTTGATGGGGCCTCTTGGGCACTCGAATGGGGCGGGGCATCCAGAATTAACTGAGGGCGGTCTCTAAGCAGGTGGGGCAGAGTTAGCAAGTGGGGCCCCGCTTGAGAATTCTGGGGTGGGGTGGCCTGGGGAAAGGGTTCTATGTACATAGCCTGCAGCCAACTGCTTGTGTGGCTTCTCAGACAAAGGCTCTGAATCCTTGGGGATGCCTCATAATCACCTGGGGAGTTTTGTTGTTATTGTACCAATAGTTTTTTCTTGTTCTTTTTCTGGTGACTCAACATACCTTATTTTAAGACTTAAAAAAAATTGGCAGCACCTAAAAGCTCACAAAAAATTTGCAGGGTATAAGTAGCTTTTTTTTCCTTCTGAACCATTTGAAAGTAAATTGCCAACCTGAAATCCCATCACCCGGCAGAACTTCGTGTGTACTTCCTGTGAGTGGGGTTACGTTCCTGCAGATATATTCTCCTACATCACCATCAGAACTGGGAATTCGTCTAATCACGAAGGCAACAATGCATCTGTCACCATGAAAGACCCCAGTCACCACGTGCCATCTGCCCCAGTTCTGGATGGTGTACTGCATTCAGCTGCGGTGTCTCTTTAGCCGTCCTCAGTCTGGAACATTCCTCAGGGTACTTGATGTTTAAGACCTAGGCCGTTTTGAAGACCACAGGCCCAGTATTGTGTAGAATGTCCATGGTCTGGGTGTGTGTTTCCTCACAATCAGAGCAGATTGGGTTACACTGCATCCTTGTCGTGGTGTCCAGTTGGGTGGATCTCTCTCGTGGCCGTCAGCCAGGCTCCCCCTTGCAGAGCTGCTCCCTTCCTCTCCGTAATTAATAAGCATTTTATGGGGAGGAACTTGGAATCTACAGACATATTCCACTCCTCACCAAGCCTTGATACATTTACTGATTCCAGGCTTCTATTTGATTCACTGTGTTATAATCCATCCATGTGATTATTTTGATGCTCAGATACCCGCCTTGGTCAGTGGGGCTTGTTCAAGTGGGATCTGTGTCTGTGTGACAGCCCCCGTCATTTTTTAGAGCACATCCTTGCTTTCCAGCACAAGAAGATGGTCAAGGTTGTGAACTAAAAACGCCGCCTGCCATTTCAGTAAACAAAGGCTGTTGCAGCCATCAGCCACTACAGGTGCCCTAATGGTGAGCCCTGAGGGAACTCAGGATGGAAGCAGGATGCCCCCCCCCCCCCCGCAACATCTAGCAGTCAGCTGTGGCAGCCGCCCCCGACGGTGCACACTGAGAGGACTCAGGATGAGAAAACACAGAATACTGGCCACAGAGAGCTGAGGTACATATTGATAGGAATGATTTCAGTGAGCCCAGACTCTTGCATCTTCCCATACACAGAACAGTACTAAATTCCTTAACTTGAGATGTCTGGTTTTCTTTAATTAACAGTAATCTTTTGATGTTCTGACCACCTGGTCTTTGTTACAAAAATGCCTGTGTATCCTGGTTCCCCTCCTTACCTCTTTGGAGCAGTCCCTCAGAGCCACCTGACAGTCTGTGTCCCAGGCTTAAGTCCTCAGTTCTGTCCATCGAGTAAAACATAACTTTCAACTTTTAGGCTGTGCATTTTTTTTTTCAGTCAACAAGATTCATCTTGTATCTCTTCTGCTTCAGCCCTGGATTCAGCCATTTCTCCTGTTTTTTTTTTTTTTTTTTTTTTTAAGATAGTGGATAATGGTGTTTAGAAGCCAAAATATGATTATTGCTGATGTCATTGCTCCTAGACTCAGTAAGTAGAGCTGGGGAACGTGTGTGTGCATGTGTGTGTACACATCCACATGTGTACACAGACATTTTCATCTGTCATCTATCTATCCATCCATCTATTATCTATCTACCTATCATCTATCTATCTGAAACTCTGAGTCCCCTGATACTCCCAATTCCAATCTAACACCCCAGAGTTCATTCTACTTGTAACTCCTTTCTCCGAAAGTGAGAAACCTGGTTTCTACCAATCTTAAGCTATTTCCTTATTTGATCCTGGTATGTAAACAGCCCCCAACCAATGCTGCTTCCCTTCCCCTGAGTTGCCCTCTTCACTCTGTCTGGCTCTGACACCCTGACCTTGGTCTCTGTGTCCTCTAGGTCCTGAGCTGGGGAGAAAGTGGGGAAGATTTGGGTGTGCATATGCCCCCGGAACTGTCCCCGCTCCTTCCATAGTAAAAGTATTTGTATTCTGAGAAGTGTCCTTCCCACCTTGGCCATGCAGAGAGACTTCTCTGGTCTTTCTGGGGTCTGTATGGCCTCATCCAAAACCTGGCCCAGCTGCCAAAAGGAGTTGGGGAGAAGGAGGTGGGAGGGCCAGACTCAGTGCTGCTCTGGGGCTAGATGTTTCCCTTCTCTGCAAGGGTGGACTGACCTCTAATCCAAGTTGAGTGCAATTGAAAGGTTCTTCCAGAGTTTTGTTTTTTTCCCCTTTTAACGACGTCACTTAGCGTTAACACTGGTTCTGCAATGTCTCTGAGGTGCAAAGAATGCCCTTTTCCCCTTGGGGCCCTGGGTTTGCCTTTTCTGCCAGGCAGTTACCATACTTCCCTGCCCCAGCCTGTTTCTTTTGGCCTCGTTTGGACCACAGTCTTCTGCTACCCGAGATTTTAGAGCCCCCTGCTCTAGAAAACAGTTGTCAGTTTAAGAAATCATTGGCCCCTTCCCAGCACATCAAGTGGGGAAGATAGAGCTGTGATTTAGTCACCCAGCACTAACTCCACCTCAGTTCTCCCTGGAGAACAGCCTCTCCCTCCAGCCCCTTGCTCTAGGATGACACAAGGAATAGCACCTAGTCATAGAAATCAGTCTCTTTGGTTTGTTTTGTATTATGTTGTACATCATTAAAGATCTAAATACAAAGGATATACAGTCTTGATGAATCTAAAGGAAATTGCTAACTATTTTGATTTTTCAGAGAGAACTACTAATAAAAATCTAAAAGGTAAAAAACCCCACAAAACACCACTCTGCCCACTGCAGGTGCCCACCTTGCTTTGATGAACCTATGGATTTAGGACTGAATTTTTCAGGGCGGGAAGGGAAGTGGAAGGGGAGTGTGTTGAATACATACACACATGCTGAGTCTAACACAATGCTCTCGGGTGTACATTTCCAAACATCCTGGGTAGTTATCCTGTCCAGCCACGGGTATGTGAGGTCAAGGGCTCTGAGCGGGTGCTCGCTCACCCCTGTCACACAGTGAGCGCTCACAGGCAGGTGTATGGCTGAACGAGACAAGCAGCAGCACAGAGAAGACAGAACACAGACTTACAGCCTGCGTACTCAAGAGAAAAATACCCGACCAGCTACGCAGAGGGGACCCGCAACAACCACGGTGCAACGTCTGACTATTAGGCACCACTGTAGTGGCGTGGCTTTCTGTTCATGCAAAACTCAAAGCAGGGCCATTGTATTTCAAGCGGAAAAAACAGCACGTATTTATTGAGTACTTGCTACAAGCTGGCACCATGAAAGGCACTGCAGAGGCCCCCAGGTAACATCTGTCCATCCAGCCATCTTTTATCCCTCCATCCACTCATCCACCCACCATCCATCTGTTCACCTGTCCATCCATCCATCCAAGCACCCATTTGTCTATCTATTCGCCCATCCATCCATCCATCTACCCATATATCCATCCGTCCAATCATCCATTTGTCCATTAATTCACCTATTTACCCATCTACCCATCCATTTATCCATCCATCCACCCATCCATTTGTCCATCCATCCATCCATCCATCCATCCATCCACCCATCCACCTGCCCACCTGTCTGTCTGTCCATCCATCCCAGATCTGTGCTAGGGCTGGAGCATGCAGTTTCACCACATACATCAGGAGGCCTCATGGCCAGACATGGGCAGCAGTGATGGGGGTATAGGCCCAACTGGGAGGGGGTTATGGAGACGAGCCTGGAGCAGAGCGACCTTTCTTCACTCCTGTTTTGGTGTTGAACATGAGAGCCAAAAGTCAACTGTGATTCTGCTCAGTGGCCCAGGAGGTTGCAGAGAGGGTCCCAGCTCTACCCTGGGCATAGCTGGAGAATCCCAATATCCTTCCCTACTTGCTCCAGCTCCTTGTTCCCAGGGTGCAGGGAGCAAATTTGAACTGGGGGTGGGTCCTGGTTCTGTGCTCTCCCTTCAAAACCATGGCCATGCCCTTGTGCTTCAAAAGCCTCAGTGACTATTCCTGTTCATTAAACGCAGGCTGGAACATTGG